ACTGAAGCCCAGGAATTGATTTTGATTTGGAGTAAAAATTAAGGTCATATTTTGCTCCATTAGCAAAGACAATGTACTTTGGTTTGCAGCATTATTAATGCCATTAATATAATGGAATGACATAATCATTTCTGGTTTTTAAACTTAATATGATTTATTAGAGGGTCGACGTGGGTCTCTCAAACAGTGAATTTATTAGGAAATTAAAGTCCTCCTTATTTTCTTATTATACATTAGAAAAGAAGAACAAAAAATATGGTCTGAAGAATTGGCGTAACTCACAATACCTGCAAAGGTTTCTAAGGCTTGGGTATTTGTGGGAATCCGTATTTATGCTTGCAATAAATTCTTTCAACGGTTTCTGATCGGTTTTTCTAACTTCTAGATTTAGACGGAGAAGCCTGATCTTGTCCGAATCGTCATAACAGATTATTAAAAGAAAGCGAATTTTTAAATATTTCAGTTGACAAATAGAATTATATTTGTTACCTCCAAATGATGTATGGATTATACTGCAGTCAACATATGGGATGGTGGCTAACATTAATATTTTTCCGGTTGATTGGGACATAGCTTAGTGAGAGAAGTTCTTATTAATAAAAACTAACGAGTTTCTCATTTTATTAATTTCACCAGTAGTATACATACAAAATATTTCCTTCTGAAACACAGTCTACCGACATAATCGGTTTTTACGCCTTTGAGTGTACACATACATGATATCTTTAAAGTAAAATCTAATATAAGCTCTTGGTTCGTTCGGTTTGGTTGCTTCGTGAAAGCGGGATTGTCTCCTGGTTTGTAAGACTAGGGGGTTTTATAAAGAAGCTGTCTCAGTTTTTCTGCTATTCATCCCATAAATAAAGAATATTTCCGTTTTAATTCGCTCTATACAGAAATAATAGAACTAATGCCATTATTGCCTCAAATTATGTGTGTACTTATAACAAACGAGCTTAACATTAATGCAATCAAAGGAGATGTAAAATTGTATTATAGTTTGTATATAATCCTGGGTGTGGTTTAATTCAACTCTTGAATATATATATGGCCGAGCGCATTCGACTGTTAAGTCATCACCAGGGCCGCTAAAAACACAAAATGTAGAGATAAGCACCCTTAATCAAAGGAGATGTAAATTTGTATTATAGTTTGTATATAATTTTGTGTGTGGTTTAATTCAACCCTTGAATATAAATATGGCCAAGCGCTTTCGACTCTTAAGTCATCACCTTTTTGTGCATCCAGCGGCCCTGATCATGACATGACAGTCGAAAGCGCTTGACCATATTTATATTTAAGGATTGAATTAAACCACACCCAGAAACATACACACTATAATACAAATCTACATCCTTTGTATTGGATTTTGTTCAATTTGTACACACCCGCTTCCTTCCATCCCTCCTTAATATTAATGTCTCCTAAATTCCTTTATTTTGTATTACATTAACTCACAATGTTGACAATAACTAACCAGTTTCCCGGTTCAATTAATTGATAAAATGGTTTGAAAAATGACATGTGATTGACTGGTTATAGTGTGTAAGCTACTTCTCATAATTGCATCGGCAAATTTTCATTACATTAACGGAATTATCGAAATCGCGCTGACGCAGAGGAGGCAATTTATTTTGAGTGGATTTCGTTTCTTCTGCCAGTGTTCACAGAGATATTGGACAGCCCAAAATTATTAGAAAATATTTATTGTACTCTTTTCTTAATCTGCCACTGTTCAGAGGGGACTAGCGAACTTTAATTTGATTATCGGGACAAAAAGCTAATTTTCTTTTATTTTCCCAGTTCCTTTTTAACTGCTCCTTTTATTGCCAGAATAAAAAGGAGACGAAAAACTCTAATAAATTTCAATGGCATACAAAAACTACTGATTTACGACATCTTCGCAAGATTAAATAAACGGCGACGCCCAAGATGAAACGAAAAGATTCGAAACCCAGATTTAAACACATTTTGAGATTCGAAATGTAAATTAAGTTTTAATTAAAAATATGATTATGCAACCATATTGATCAGTTCTTACATATATTTTAAGTGGCTAAGTTTCATCATTTTTGCTTTCCTATCATTCAGCTTTAGAAACTGTTACGGTTAATGTTAGTTCAGTTATATTTATAAGCACTTATAGATATCTTGATTAATTTGTGACCAAGATTCTTTTAGTTCATGGCATGAAATTGTAAAGCATTACTGACGTATAGCTAATTCCTCTGATTCTAATCTATAATTTATTGTTTTCTAAAAGTGTTGAAATTTTAAGAAAGCCCCGGGGTAAATGGGTTTAGCTGTTCATTTCGTAAATATTTCTATTGCTAATGAAATTTGATTTAGTTGACATCAATCTCGTTTTTCTTATTGCCAGTAATTATTATACTTTTTCATATTACGCTCAAATTTTACTGAAACCCTAGCACACTGCAAAAAAAACTTCCAAGCATTATCTTGTGCCTCTTTGCGATCTTTAAAAACTTGTGATAATTAGCATTTTTTACCGAATCACTTTTTAGCAATTGTCGAAATCGGAATTTGTTCGGTTTGCTAGAACCTACAACTTACTTTTTGCTAAGACCCAGAAATTTTACGTAATTTGAGAAACTGGCTATCAATAGTTAGATACACAAAATACTAAAAAGGTTGCCCCCATATCTAAATGGAAACCATAAAATATATATTTAGACTTACAGATTATAGTGCACATCTGCCATATTAGGTCGATGCTTCAAAGCTCTTTTAAAGGCTTCTTCTGCTTCTTCTATTCTCCCTTTGCTATTCAGGATGCTGCCAAGATTTCCATAAGCTGCAAATAAAATTAATAATTTATTATTATATTTGTGTACATTTCAGATTTCATGATTCTTGATCATCATTTATATATTTCATCAGTACCTGTTATCAGTTCGCCTATCAGTATCTCAAATTTCAAACATGAAATCGGTTGATTTTAAAAGCTTATTTTGATATAGGAGCGATTTGATTGAGCAAAACTATGGTAATATAGTATATTACTGTCGGAAACTATGGAAACTATTGTTAAGAGAGCAGGTAGAAACGGTCTCCGTTTTGGTGACTCTTGACAGTTTAGAGAAGTTTCAGTTTGATTTAACAAAAAGACAAGTTGTAATTGTAACGAACCAAATCTGTTTAAAATAAATTGATCAGTATTGGAAAAGCCCGGAACCAGTTT